TGGCCTATTCCAGGCCGAGTAAGTCGGTGGGAACCTTGGAGGCGTTCACGTTGGTTGATTTGAAGAAGTCTATACATTGTGGCCGGTTTTGCCGCCTGCCGACTMTGGCGGCACACGTGCCCGAATCTGCAGCCAGTGTGCAAATTTCGGGAGCTCAGCGGACTCACATGCCACACACCAATCGTCTGCTTCCACGCGATCCTTTAAAGCGTATCCGGTGACCCCGCACTTCCAGCAGGTACCAGTTAGGTTATGTTAGGTTGTTGTTAGCCTTGCATTGTGGCTGAAAACGTGGCATCGGAAGCACCTCTCCGGAGGGAGGGTACTTGCACGTACGTGGCACATGGTCCGGACCCTGGTGATGAGGATAGCCAAATRATTGGGAATCTTAGTCGTGGCAATCTATTGACCTTAACGGATGCCCCATATCCTGACGTCGCAGATGACCTCCGTGGAGCGTCTTCTTAGTCCAATCCTTGGCGTCCGTCTCTATGGCAGTGTCAGCTTCAGTCTCTGGAAGGAACTGRGCGGCTGGCTGGGGCCTTTGAAGTCCGCTTACCTAGGCTGGAGGTGGCCCTACTCGAGGCCTGGCTRTCCCAAAACTCTGGGGTAAGTTCCATATCTGTAGATGCGTCGGACGTTGTATTCTCAATGGATACGCCGGCCGAAGGTTGGTCGTGTTAAGGCAAGCCCACGATGTTACCATTCTTCTCGAGAAGCGAGTCAACTGCCATAGGTTAGGTTAGGTAAGCGTCAGCGGTACGGGTCAGAAGAAGCTAGATAGATAGGCCCACAGGATCTCGTCCTCGTTTCTATCCATCACGATCTTCACGCTGGATACAACACCTATGATGATGAACCTCGCTTTGTTGAGCTTCTCTCTAAGATTGGCGCTCCAATTGTGTCCGTTGGAATACTGCGTCAGTCCGGTGCTGTCCTGTGGTGGTGGGTTCTGCCACCTTAAGTTTCTTGACGGACTGGCCGGCYGATGGTCGATGCGTGGGACTGGTGGGTCTGGTTCGTTTGACTGCGATGGTCTGACACATCTGAGCCCTGGGTGCCTGGTGTGGTAGTTGACTTCTCTTTCAGTTGGTTACTGCTCCGATCCAATTTGCTGTGAAACTAGCCACTAGCGTTTAGAGCGCAGCGCACTGGGTTATTTAGGTTCCCGCCGAGGCGTTTTTACGTTTGCACGGTCGGGAAACGCTACGGTTKGCTGCTAGGCGAACCTAGGGCATGGGACCTTTCGCAGTTGGTCACGGGCGTGTCTAAGCCCACGTGACTTACTGCGGTTGGCCGGTGTGCGTGGCTTATTTGTACGTGATCGTTATCGGTTACCGTTGGGCGTGATAAGCTTTTGCTGGCACGTGAATCGTCTGGTTCGYGAATGGACGTRTCTGGATTGCGCGATCGCACAAGGGGATAGGATTAGCTGCGATATTGGAGCGACGTGCTGCGGTGTATGTTCGTACTAGGTTGGCATACACGACTCGACTGAGATTTCTTATTTATATGCGGTAATATTTTCTTGCGTTATTTCAAAAGACTAATAAATTGATCTTTATTTAAACGAAATTTAAATTTTTTTTTCAAATTCAAATTTGTGTATTAAACTTTAATTTAATTTTTTTTTTAAATATATAATATAGAAAACTCTCGCATTGTATACAATTAAACTTTGACTGGTGACAAAATATATTATATTGCTTTTAAATAGTTTTAGGAATTTATACTTATTTATWCCGTATTTATTTTTAACTGGCAACGAAGCTTTTTACATAGCATCATTTAATTGAAAATATATAAAAAAAAAAAAAAAAAAACAGTTTTAAGGACGTTTGAAATTAAAAATATTAAAACCCAACTGCTTMCAAACGTAGTTGTGAAAAATTGTTGTTCACAAAAATGTAGTTCCATAGATTATGATAATGGTTCATTATAACTTTAGGATGGCGTGCATGTACAAGTACATATGTACATATGGTTATTTATATGTATAATTGCGCATAAGTATGTGTTAATTTAGTTTAATAATATGTTCAAATATTTTTACAACATTTGGTATATTTTGATGACGTCTGTTACAAATTGTGACTCTATATTAAGTTGTATGAAGTTTTTTGTTCGATCACACGACATTTTATTCTTTTTTATAGTTTTATCATAATAATATGTTCCTGTGTAATCAGTATTTATTATAATATCATGAGCAACATGGGCATCATTATTTCAAACTTATACCCATCCTGTTTTAATTGTATTGATAACAAATAATTGATAAAATGGTAGATTAATTAAATGTTATTAAGTTATTATATTTTGTTCTAATCACATTATAATCTCAGCACATAAACTTATAATATCACGTAGCTAACAATATATATTGTACTATAGTTAAAATATCATATGAAAACGATTTGGTTTATTATCGACACATAATACAATTTTTGCAACACTTTTACAAGGTATCATTTCATGTATTTCATGTGAGATATTACATTTTTAAATTTCCAATACAATGTATATAGATGTATTGACACAAAGAAATCGTACAAAATATCTGAACTTATTGTGCCATTTATAATAATAATAATTTAKTGTATTTCTGCTTAATATAAACACATAAAATAATATTATTTACTAATATACAATTTTTCTATTATTTTCTGTTCTTTTTTTAAGTCATAAATAAAAATTGAATTTAATAACACTGCCACGTGCCAACCAAGCAGTTCAATGAAAAACACCAATGCACATGAGAAACTTTCTATACATATTATTTTAAAAAAGAAATACAACAAAATATATTTGTTCTGACTGTTTATGTATACTATATATATATGTTCAAATTATAATAACTCATCTATATTTTCAATGTACTTACGTGTAGTAATATAAATTATAAAACCTTTTCACTGGTTAGTTAAATATTTAACTTGAAATGAAGTATGCATTTAATTAAGTAATGAAAAAAAATCTATGTAAACTTTTATTGTTAATAACTGAGTACTAATGGTCACAGCTGCTGACTATTTCTTGATAAAAAAAAATAATAATAATAAAATTAAAAATTAATTTAATTTAAGATTTATAGCAATAAATTCTTTTCTCTAAACGATTAGTTTTTAATTAAATTTTTTTAAATTTTTTAACTAATTGTTGGAAATATTATAATATTTTTGAAATTGTAACTTTGTAAATAATAATATTGCTATATACCTACCATTCTTATTTTACTTAAAAATTCCATTTAATTTTTAATTTTGTGTAACGGTAAGAAATATATAAATATTCATAACTATCAGTTTAAATTTAAGTATCCTTACCTATATAAAATACGTAATTATGCGTAATACGTTATATTATGACCACTAATATAACATTGACTATTTTGTGAATTTTTAACACATAAACATTAACCTTTTTGTTAATTAAATTATCATGCATAACTCAATTATTCATCGAAAGATTCGAAATCGGTCTGTATGCTATAACTACTATTATATTGGTATATGTATTATAAATCCTATTGGTTGGTGGAGTTTTATCGGAAATTAAAAAAGAAACTCGACTTTGGTACACATATTATACAAACTGTACCTAGAGGTATAAAGCGTATATGAAAACTGATATTATTTATCTATCATATTTGAGAATTCATACTTTCCACGGGGTCGTGAAACATTTATATGATATTATGTGTTTTTCGATACGTTCACAGAACGTGAATTCAGGTTAGCTAGTTTTCTTCAGCTCTGCAGCACCACTTCTGAAAACATAATATAATATTATAGTTTATACACACAACAATAAAGTGTTTCTTTCGGTTTTTATATAAAAGTATATTATATTTATACTATTGGTTCATCGTTTACAAATGTCTATATATAATAATCCATAGATACTCGCCCGTATATTAATGGAATCGGTAACGATACTGCAATGAAATCGATTGCGTTTATGATACGTGCGTACCAACATCAATCTGTGCGTGAGATTTTGCGAGATGAATAACTTAAAAATTTTTGAAATATAAAGTACAATGAATATACTAATATTAAACTTTAAGAACATACCATATTCATCATAATCATCATCATATCGCATAGATTAATTATTTATGATTGATCTCGTCGCAGTGTATGAAATGCGCAAAAAAAGAAGTTTCAGTCCTACTCATTATTACTCGTATCGTATTATAATTTTGTGTTATGATTTAATATATTATATTTCTACACCTTCGATCGTATTCAATATCATGAAAACAATTTTGAACGCGAAACGATCTTTTCTGTCAAAGCATTACACAACAATAAATCAATAACTGTGTTAGGCCAAGATTAAAGATGTCTACGGAACCATATTACTTTGTGTAATACGAAATGCTGAATGTGCTGTATTAAATAAAAACTGCGCAATGACTGAAATGATACAGAAATTTGTTATTATTGTTTTTTAAATTGTTTGTTGCATTTATGCACTTTAATTTAATAACWGTAAAAAATAAAAATGCATCTTAATAATCTWTGCTTATTATAATATTTATTTATTAATTTAAGTGAATATATATTTTGAATTTAAACTGTGAACTAATATAATTGCTGATAACCAACATAAAATATCTGCATCTGACGTTACAGCTGCTCTTAATCGTTGGACTGATGCAATTTAGTTTCTAGTCGCATAATATATAATTGTGTATTATCTGAGGGTTAAGGGCATAGGGTAAATAATATATATATACATACATACTTACATACATATATATTAGCCCTTAGTGTTTGACGGGTAAAAAATGACCAAGAATTTCGATATACATTTGTGTATATAAAACGCTACAGCTATATTTAAATATTTTAAATAAATAATGATGTAAGGAAAATAATTTTTCAGTATGTACATTAAACACTAAATCACTTTTGCGTTTATATWATGTTATATATTTTACCCGTGATTCACGTATCATTAAAAAAAATTTCAAATTGTATTTTTATTTGTAGATCAATCGCAAAATCTGGGAATGAACAACGATGAGGAGTGGAGACCACGAAGACGCGGTTCGCAACTGTAAGTGGGATACTCTCATAAAATGCATTTTTTTCTTATTATTATCTTTGCGGTCCTTTCGATGTTTAAATAATGATTTAATGACGTTTTGTGGGTTTGGTCTCGGAACAGGCCAGACATCAGCAATTTACGGTCAGCCGCTGAGTCTAGAGGAAGTCGGAGCTCGTTTTCCAACAGGAGTGGCGGAGACGGCCAACAGTTGCAACAGCAACAACCGCAACAGCAACAACAGCAGCCGCCGCCCGTCATCCAAGAAACTGAACAGAACGAAACAGTCCGCAGACAGCCGTCAGTAGCTGGTGAGGAGATCAAGATAGTCATACATGACGTGGATTTCGACCCGAACACTATGGGTAAGTAGTTTTGACATGTTGTTCGGGAAAACAGTTAATTTATTGTTTTTGTGGCATTGTATATCAAGTGGGTGGTGGTAGGGGGCATGAGTGATTGTGAAGGCTATTTATCTCATCTTCTTTGAATTTCTTTTACTATGGATGGGTATTATATATGGTTTTCTGTACATTATTTATCTTAAATTTAAGGCCCCGTGTTTGATTGGGCGATTAAAACTATAAACATTTTTTAAATCATATTTTAATATAATAATTAACTAAATTAATTGAAATAATTAATAATCATCAACAATTTAAATTTCGAGCAAATGTTTGTTATTTTCCTCGGAATCATAGCTACTACTATTAATTTAGTTTCTAAATAATTCTTAATAATATGTTACYGGATGTATCGCCAGTTTAGTTTCCATATAGATTTGTCAACATGGAAATATTAATAAATACCGTAGTTCGGTCCAATATTAACAGTCCATATACCTACTATAATTTACGTATTTTTTGTAGCATTTATGTTGAGCGTCATAACTATATACAATTTACCATTGTCTGGAAAATTCTTTTCGTGATAGTTTTGTGCCAGGTACAACTCTTGATTTTATTTATAAGTTTTTACAAAGTTTACATTAAAATAGCATACAAATAATAATAAGAAAATATTTTATTTTATCCTGCTTACCGATAACTCTCAAAGGAATATGTATAATACAATATATTTTTATTGTAGACATAATGTTCATGCATTCCAATAAATTATTAAGTGTAGGTAAGATACAAAATAAAAACACCTATGTAGCTATATAGATGAGATGAATTATTTAATTCAATTTTGAATACATACGTAACTCGAAAAATAAATTTATTATCAGCCTATGAAATAATTAATTTTTATGTATAATACAATATATTTTTATTGTAGACATAATGTTCATGCATTCCAATAAATTATTAAGTGTAGGTAAGATACAAAATAAAAACACCTATGTAGCTATATAGATGAGATGAAYTACTATTATTATTTCAATGACAAAATGTTAACTAAATAAAAATTTGAATTATTGTAAGTTACATAAAAATTAATTATTTCATAGGCTGATAATAAATTTATTTTTCGAGTTACGTATGTATTCAAAATTGAATTAAATAATTCATTTTACATAATCCTTCTTATGCATTTTTAACATTATTTTTTTAGTTTTCACTTTTATTTTAGATTCTGAGCGGAGCGATGAATGTATTGATTTTA